TTTTCACTGCCTCTTGAAAAGCCTCTTTTACTGCTGCAGTTGTGGACACTTTAGGTTTATTATGCTGTTTTACCACCTGAAGATGCATAGTCAAGTTATTCTCTATAAAGTTTTTTTGAAACTACTTGAATTTAAATAATACAGTATCATCAGTGAAATCACTGTTTTTATCTACATTACTGAACACTACATGTGCAAATTGAAATGCTTATGATAAAACGAGAAGGGGAAAAACACTACAAAACATCTCTAAAAGCAGTTACTGCTGATGGGCCTTTATTCTTGGGCCTATTTCGTTGTAATTTTGTTTTTAAGGATAACTGGTCAAGTAAACAGAAGTAAACAATGTGGAGTAGGAGCCTAAAATGAAGCTACTATCTGTATCTGTTTATTTCATAAGTAGTTGCCTTATTTTCTGTATAAAATTGTTTTCTACTGCCATTTATGCTCCTCGTAGTATGTTTAAGTTTAGCTGCTCACAAAATGTACAAAATACCATCATGTTTTGTCAATGTACTTTAATTTATAATCAATAAAAAATCAACATTTGTATGTGAACCACACCTTCAAAAAAAACAAAAACTTGTTTAAAGATATCATATGTAACAATTCTGCATTAAAATGTCTATAAACACTAGACCTATATTATATATTGTATTGAGTTGTGTACTTACGTTGTCCCAAATGTTTTCAACAATGTTCAAACCCAGAGAAATTATGTCATTTTATTCAGGTAACGGTCGCCTGTCAGTGGCATCTTCCCTTTCGCATTGTGGTTGTCTGCCAGAAACTGTCATGAATATACTTTTTATCCAGTTTTAAGACACATTTTCACCCTACACTTTTTATATCTTGGTCGTTTTTAACTATACCGATCAGCCATAACATTATGACCACCTGGGCACCCTGGTGGTCATAATGCTTCCCTATATGCAACAACAAGGTGTTCTGACACCTTTCTTTCAGAACCAGCATGAATTTCTTCAGCAGTTTGATTTACAGCAGTCTTCACTCCCCACATGCATCAG